GCTTCGGATTCTGTGTCTCCCTCTCTCTCTGACCCTCCCCCATTCATGCTCTGTCTCTCTCTGTCTCAAAAATAAATAAACATCAAAAAAAATTAAAAAAAATATTTTTCTCCTTTATTTTTTATTTATTTTTAATTGAAATATACTTGACATACAATAATTTAAAAAATATTTTAGAAATGCCTGCATAATATTCCACAGTGTGGATGTCCATACGTTATCTGTTTTCTGTTGTGGAACATTTATATTGCTTCTAATTTTTCACTATTTTGCTATAATGATGGGTACACATTCAAATGTAAATATTTATGCACATCTCTGAAAGGTTCCTTACAATGGATATTTAGAAGAATCACCAGGTTAAAGGGTTCCTGATAGGTGCTTCCAAAGTGTCCAAAAAGGTCACAGTAACTTACATTTATAATGAGAACTACCATGCAATAGTTCTTCTCCATTACCAGTAAAGTGAATTACCATGTAAAAATTGCTAACTTGGTAAATTAAAGTTCAAAGTCTGTATCCCATTTTAACTTGCATTTTTTGTTACTAATGCAGTGGAATATTTTCCAAATGTTTTCTATCCATTAAGATTTCTTGTGCTGTGATCTATTATTTTTCACATCCTCTGCTCAGTGCCCTGTTGGAATTTCAGTGTTTCCTGTTTGATTTGTATGAGGTCTTGCTATCTTAAGAATAACAACCCTAGAGGGGCGCCTGGGTGGCGCAATCGGTTAGGCGTCCGACTTCAGCCAGGTCACGATCTCGCGGTCCGGGAGTTTGAGCCCCGCGTCAGGCTCTGGGCTGATGGCTCGGAGCCTGGAGCCTGTTTCCGATTCTGTGTCTCCCTCTCTCTCTGCCCCTCCCCCGTTCATGCTCTGTCTCTCTCTGTCCCAAAAATAAATAAACGTTGAAAAAAAAATTATAAAAAAAAAAAAAAAAAAAGAATAACAACCCTAGAGGGGCACCTGCGTGGCTCAGTCGATTAAGTGTCTGACTTAGGCTCAGGTCATGATCTCACCATTCCTGGGTTCAAGCCCCACATCGGGTTCTGTGCTGACAGCTCAGAGCCTAGAGCCTGCTTGAGATCTGTGTCTCCCTGTCTCTTTCTGCCCCTCCCCTGCTCTCACAACTGTCTCTCTCTCAAAAATAAACAAACATTAAAACATTTAAAAAAAAAAAAAGAGTAACAACCCTTGACAATGTATATTTTCAGCAAATATTTTTCTCAAGTGGTGATGTAATTTTGAACTAATCAGTTTTTGAGATAGGGAGAGGTTCTATTTTTACTTCATCAAATTCATTAATATTTTTGTGATTTCTTGAACTGCTGTATGCTCCATCTTTCACTAGGAATAGAAAAACATTCAACTATATTTTCTCCTAGTTTTCCATACTTCCATTCATTAGATATTCAGCTCTTTAATCCATCTTGAAATTATTTAAGTGTGTGATATGAGGTGAAATCCAAAGGGCTTTTCTCCCCAAATAGTTAAGCATCTGTACCAGCATGATTTACTATCTATGCTTCTCTTATTAATACTACAGTATATTAATTCTAAATTCTTTGCTCTTTTTCTGAGCTTCCTGCTGCATTAAATCTGGCTCTTTATTTCAAAACTAGTACCATCATATTTTAATAATTGTACTTTCAAAATGTTCTAGCGTTTGATATGGTAAATTACCACCTGTCCCTTAAACAGATTTTCTTAAGATTTTCTTTCTTTTTTTTTTTTTTTAGTTATACAAGAATGTTTTTTCTCCTCTAGGAACAATTTGTGTCTCTCCACATACTCAAGCCTTATTTTAAGACCTTCAGTAAAGTAGTTTTTGCTTTCTTTTCATACAGATTCTGCTATTTTTATCCATTTATTCCTTAGAATTTTTAATATTTATTTGTAGCTGTTATCAGCTGGGTTTTTCCCATACATATATAATTTTTTTAATGTAAACTCTACGTGCAATGTGGGGCTTAACTTCACAACCCCGAGACTAAGAGTCACCTGCTCTGCCAACTGAACCAGCCAGCCACCCCACCCTATATATGTTATAAATGCTTGATGTTAGTATATGAGAAAACAATTTGCTTTTATAATTAAAAAAATGTATTGTCTAAACTGACTCTAGAAAAAATAGAAAATCTCAACAGACCTATAACAGGTCTGTTGAGAAATTGAATCAGTCCTCACAAACCTCCCAGCAAGGGACAGGCCTGGACCAGAGGGCTTCACTGCTGGATCTACCAAATAGTTAAAGAATTAACACCAGTCTTTTTCAACTTCCTCCAAAAAACTAAAGAAGAGGGAACACTTCCTAACTCATTCTGTGAGGCAAGAATTACCCGGTTACCAAAGCCAGATAGACATTACAAGAAAAGAAAATCACAGACCAATATCCCTTATTGAATATAGATGCAAAAATCCTCAACAAAATAATAGCAAATCTAATCCACCAGCAAATTAAAAGAATTATTCACCATGACCAAGAGGGACTGATCCCAGGAATGCAAGGGTAGTTCAACAAAAGAAAACCAATCAATCAGTGTAACATCCCACATTAATAGAACAAAGGGAAAAAACATGATGTTACATATATTTTACCACACACACACACAAAAAAACTACCTGGTCACCTTTTCTGAAATTCCTTATTCTAAATTTTGCTTCAGTTAGAAAGATCAAAGGGATCAGACTATAAGGACCAGACTGCAACCTCCTTTGCTTCACTAAACATGTGTTGGTCTTCCAAACTACTACTTTTAGATCTACTGCAACCACTTCAACAGCTCTTAGTTTTCTTTCATGTGGATAGGTCATGATTCATTCAACTAGTCCCTAATTCATGGATATTCAAGTTACTATTAAAGTTTTGCCCATGCAAAGCACACTGCTGAACAGCCCTGCACTTCTGAAAGTAGTTCTATGGGATAAATTCCTAGCAGTAGAAATGACAGGCCAAAGGGTATCCACTCTATCTCTCTCCCACTAAAGAGGGCTGTTGGAATCTGTAACACACTACGAAAGTATTCTGCTGGTTCTGCACGTAGTATTAAAACCAGAACACGGAACAAGTGGTACCAAAACTTTGTGGCATCAGTTAGATCAGGGGTTGGCAAACTATAGCCTACAGACCAAACCCACCTTGCCACCTATTTTTATATAGCCCACAAGCTAAGAATGGTTTTGGTTTTTGTTTGTTTTTTATATTTTTAAATGATTAAAAAACGGGGGGAGAGACTAGGGAAGATGGCGGCATAGGAGGACGCTGGGCTCACCTCGTCCTGCTGATCACTTAGATTCCACCCACATCTGCCTAAATAACCCAGAAAACCACCAGAAGACTAGCAGAACAGACTCTT